GTTGTCGAGACACTACTATTGTTCCAATGACTTACTGATGACACTTTTCTTCTCGACTCAACGACACTGTATTCACCGGTATTTGCATTCAAATTATTATTATCGACACTTGAATTAAGGTTTGTTTTACTATCACTTATATTATTAGAATTATTAGGACTGGAGTTGAGTTGACTCGAAGTGCACGTCAATGAGTTGATGAGTTGGGACGCGTTGACGGCCGAGGCATTGGTTTGTTTACTCTCGGTGTGTCTGTGGTGGCGCTTCTTCAGCGGAAGCCGCTGTTCGTTAGCGCCCGACGAACCGCTCGCCTGAATGTGAAGCAAACTGTTGGACACTTCGCTCTTCTTCTCACTCTTTTTCTTGTCAGTCGTGCCTTCCGTTTGATTCATACTATTATTGACTTTCTTTTTGCTAGACTTCTTAGCGACCGATGATTTGGGCGTTTCGACCACCAAATCGTGCGATGAGTTGACGACCGCTGTCTGATCGAAATGATGTCTCTTTGACTTAATATTCTTCAGAAAGTTTGTGAACTGGAATACAGTCGGCAACGATTGTCTCGATTTAGTCTCCGACGGACTCACTGTCGCCCGTTTCGACACTTTAAGTAGTTTTAAACTCTTTGTGAGATTCTCTATTAATGATACAAATTCGGGATTCGTTTCCATTTCAATGTCTTTATGTCTGGAGTGATGATGTCTTTTATGGTGTTTTCGTTTGGCGTGTTTTCGCGAACGCGACGACAATCCGGTTGTTCTCATGGCGTAACTCATTTGCTCTGAGACTTGATTTGCATTTCGCGATGTCTCACACTTTTCATTCACCTCTTGTTTCCCCCGTTTTGTTTGGCGTGTTTTCGCGAACGCGACGACAATCCGGTTGTTCTCATGGCGTAACTCATTTGCTCTGAGACTTGATTTGCATTTCGCGATGTCTCACACTTTTCATTCACCTCTTGTTTCCCCCGTTTCTTAGTTTTATGGCTCTTATTATTAGAAATGATTTCATTGTTATCGTTGTTCTCATTCGGCGAGACATAAACTGATGGTATTTGTATCAAATCGGTTCCAGAAGGTGTGACATCTCTTTGTACTTCATTCACATTAGCACTGGTTTGACAATCGGCTGAACTCTTATCGACACTATCTTTGTTTTTGTGTTGATTTCGTTTACTTCTCGTCCGACTCTTCCTATCGTTTTGATGTTTGGTTTCCATGTCTTCGTGTATAGCAATGCCTTTGTTCGCCACTTTTGGTTCTTTTGATTTGCTTTTACTCTGCGATCGCTTCTGATTGTCGACGGATTCTATGGTCTTCTTTCGTTGCCTTGAGTTGAAAGCCGGCGAATCGGCGTTGTTTGGCGTGTTTTCGCGAACGCGACGACAATCCGGTTGTTCTCATGGCGTAACTCATTTGCTCTGAGACTTGATTTGCATTTCGCGATGTCTCACACTTTTCATTCACCTCTTGTTTCCCCCGTTTTTTATTTTTATGGCTTTTATTATTAGAAATGATTTCATTGTTATCGTTGTTCTCATTCGGCGAGACATAAACTGATGGTATTTGTATCGAATCGGTTCCAGAAGGGGTTACATCTCTTTGTACTTCATTCACATTAGCACTCGTTTGACAATAGGATGCACTCTTATCAACACTATCTTTGTTTTTGTGTTGATTTCGTTTACTTCTCGTCCGACTCTTTCTATCGTTTTGATGTTTGGTTTCCATCTCTTCGTGAATAGCAATGCCTTTGTTCGCCACTTTTGGTTCTTTTGATTTGCTTTTACTCTGCGATCGCTTCTGATTGTCGACGGATTCTATGGTCTTCTTTCGTTGCCTTGAGTTGAAAGCCGGCGAATCGGCGTTCGTCTGATGGCAAGCGTTGTTGTGATGATGTGATGATTGCCGCCAATCACTGGTATTCGAGACGTTGAAGTGTCCGAACTCTAACTCTTCGGTTTCGTTGGACTGAAACTGTGAACAAATGGAGTCTTTTATACTTCTGACCAGAAGTTCGAAGTCATCCTCGCGTTTATGATTCATGAATGGCTGATGTCCTGAACCGGAATGACATCTCGGATATGGCAAAAAGTTGCGGCCAATGATTGGCATCAAATTCATGGGAACCCTTAAGTCTAGATTCGGGCCAACCGTGGGATCACTGGGTTTGGAATTATTGAGAAATATTTCAGTCAATTGAACCACATTTGGGACATTGGCTGCCAATGAAGCCGACGTCTCGGGCATCGCATTGAATGAAGTGCTGGCAAAGTGTTGGTCACTGTGTTTGACCACTAAATCCAACGAATGTTTATCACTGTTTGTATTGTCATTGGTTTGTATTAACGAACTGTTTATTATGTGTTTAGTCTTCTCTTTGGATGTTTTGTTCTTTTGTTTTTTGCGAGTATTCACTGTTCGAGAGTTGGGTTTGAGTTGAGAATTGGTTTGTGTTTGAGATGTGGAAGCATTCATCGACAGTAACTCTGTGTCGCTGATGGAGTGGTGCCTATGCGGTGACTCTCCCTGCGATTGGATCCCACTGTCGGGCGAAGCCTTCTCGTGTTGAAGAGATTCGAGACTTAAGTTACCATTATTTGTGTCATTCATGTGAGGAACTGATTGAAGGAAATGCGATATTTTCTCCGTACTGTTGATCACAGAACAGTTGGGATTCACAGATATCTGATTAATCACTCGATTCATGTCTGAATACAACATGGATTCGCAGTTAATCTCATTGACAGAGTTTTTAATAGTCGTTTCGGCGTTATTCGAGACCACAGTTGAGTTCAACTCATCGTTTGGATGCAATGTATCCGTAGTTCTTGACTGAGATTTTTTAGTTTTCGATTTTTTCGATTTGTTTTGAGATTTGGATCTCTTGTTGTCGTGATTTTTACCGCTTTTGTCTTTCTTTGATTTCTTGTTTTTTGTTTTCAACACTTTGTTACCACTGTTGGCAGCAGTGATAGCATCGGTTCCAACGCTTCGGCTTTTGTTGGACGACACTGTCTTGGATTTGTTGGTGACGGCAATCACGTCGGTGTCCGTCTGGACCTGCACTGCGACCGTAGCTGTTGTGGGAGTCTTATGGCTTTGTTGAGCGGTTGCTGTGTTGGAAGTGGTGGCGACTGCGGGCTGACGATTCTGCAGGTGAGGGATCCGATAGCTGCGAAGCCGCTGCCGTTCTTCGGCCGGATCTCTCTTCCTGTGCGCGTACATCGAGTTGTGTGACGACTGATAGTTCATTGGGCTGTTTATACTGATGGCCGGACTGTAACAACTGCTCTCACACGACACCGACGAGGGCTGCGATAACGGCGTCGACGGCAACAGATTCTGTTGACAATTCACTTTCAGACTCTCACTCCTGTTGTTTATTGTCGAACCCTTCGACTGTTTGCAACTCTTCGTTGGATCTCCTTTTGTCTTATAGTCAATATCACTGTCAGACGACTCACTATCACCGGAAACACTGGAACCGCACGACGAGCCCGAAGACGAGCCACTGCTGGAACAGCTATAACTGCGACAACTGCTGGAACTGCGCGACGAGGAAAATGAAGAACCGGAACTACTTGTGCTGCAACTCCGCGACGAGCAGTCAGAATAGCTTTGGTTTGAATCTCTGCTCTGACTTCGGGAGCGACTCGAGTCGAAAGAGCTGTCGTTGCGCTTCCGTCTCCGGTGTCTGTGTTTTCGCGTCATTTTGATGGGAATCGGTTGTCGTTTGCCTTTTCCCGCGTGTCTCCAACACTGACAGTCCAATCCATGGTCTTCTTCGTTGTCGTCCGGATCGTGAATAACGCCCGAAACGGCCTCAACAACACTCAACTGGCGCTTCGGTAACATCGGACTCGTGTCCGGCCTCTCATTGGGCACTGAATTAGTCCTTCGCGTCGCTATCCGGAGCTTAAGTGCGCCGACATTGCAGTCGTTGTTTCCCTTAACGATCGAAAACTCGCATTTCTCACGATTGGTGTCCACTTCGGAAGCGCTGGACATCGACGCCGACTCCACTTCGCTCTCGCTTTCGGACAAATGATTGGCAAACGATTTCAAACTTTTGCTTTTATTATTATGATTGACGCGTTTGTCCTGCGATTGGCTGTAATTCGGCGAACAGTGACCACTCGTGTCTTCGGATGAGTGGCCGCCGCTCTTGCGGTCGTTGATCTCATGTCTCTTCTTTCTGGTCCTCTGATTCTTTCGGTCCAATCGTTTACTTCGGGAACTGTTTTGCGATAAATTGTTTGTATTGTTCGACACATAAGACGTCAATAAAGGATTCGATTTGTTTGAAACCATTCGCATGACTGAAGAGACAGATCACTGGATCAAAGACAGGAGACAATAGACATCGAGATTAAAACACGTGACTCTTAATAGCCATTCGTTTGCAAAACAAAAAACAACAATAAATTGACATTAAATTGACTAAAATATGGGAAACAAACGATCAATGGATTCACTGATTATCATATAAAGAGTGGGAACCGATTGAAGGCATGTCTGGAGAGGAAGGGTTGCGACAAATAAGACGAGTGTTTGGTTGCAAAGAGTGAGGCATTTAAACGAGAAAAACAAAAACAAAAGTAGAGATCAATTGCTTTGGCAAACAATCGAGTCCTCAGTCTTACAGTCGACGGCAAAACGCCTTTCAATCCGTTGAATGACTCGTGTTTTGTGGCATCGATTCGACCACCGCTTCGATCAATGACTCTCTCATCGGAGATAACAACTGAATGTATCGTTTAGTTTGAAACACAATTTAATTGTAACCAATTATAAGCCATTATTAGTGAGCATAAGATGAGAGCAAAACGTATTCAAAACATGGCTTCTCTTCTTTCAAAACATTTCACATACAATACAATCGATTCACACGACCTCTACTGACACACAGACGCCTCACTCTCCCTCTCTCTCTCTCCTATACCGTAAGTATAGGCACGTATTGAACACACCGTTTGCCGCACAGAATTATGCATTCAATTTCGACCCAAACTTTTATTGTTTGTAAAAAACTTTTTTTTATTTTGTTGACTACTTTTTTACGATCACGTCTAATGAATGTAAAAATATTTATATTATATGTATTTACACCTAATTGTTATAATCTAACGATGAATGAGGTTTAAAGCCATTGCTGTGCACTATTGGCCGAGAGATCCATTAGTTTCCAACAGGCCTTCGGGTCGAACTCGTTCTGATCCCGACATAAAACCCATACGTAATGCACGCGTAATATCTTCTCCTAAAGTACACAAATAAATGAGTGATGATTTGAGTGCCGGGAGTGGCGGTCATTATCACATACCGGGTCCCCTTCAACAACATTGCCCTTCGAGTCCTTCACGCAATTGATTTGTTGAGTTTGAAATGTGATTATAAGAACGGGTCCGCTCTCCATAATCTTACCCATCGCTAACTATTTGTATTAAAATTGAAATCATTAGTGAATGAAATGACAATACATTGATAAGTATACTGTACTCACGTCGACGTTCTCCAGGTCTAGAACTCTGGACTCGAATCTATGGCCCAACTTCTGTGCCTGAATAATGCCCTGAGATATTTGGTTGTATGGCTGTATTGAATACAAAATAATTGTTAATCATATAATCAAAACGGCTTTCATAACAATGACTGACCGCTTCATTACACCAATCCTTGAGTATCGCGAGATCGGGTCTAATAATAGCCTCCAATATATTAGGGATGATATCGTTTTCGCAGTCTTTGAGGAATTGATTTTTATCAAAGTTGGCGTCGATTTTACAAATCTCTGTCAACACTTCCGACAATTCTGTCTTCGAGAAGAGACCGCCGAAGAGTTCGGTCACCTTATCGGTGACGAGACGCGAGGCTCTGACCACCGGATTATCGCTTTCGTCGTATTTCGTTTTCCAATCAAATATTTTATTCACGTATGGATTGTTGTCCTTAAAGTTCTGCCAACTTTGATGCCAACGACTGTCTTTGTGTAACTCAACTCCTGTCGCATCTCTGAAAAGATTGGTCGTTAAAGTCAGACATCAAATGTAAATGCATTTGAAAACCAACTCATTTGGTTCGATAGGCTTCTGGTGGGCAAACATGTCCTCCGATTCCTCTTTTCTTTTGCGCAATTTTTCCGGTCTTTTATACACTCTTCCAGTCTCTCCGATCTCTTCGCCCACAGCTTTCACTGTCTGTTCATTTCAAACACACATTTCATAAATTTTATAACAAATAAATGGTTAATAATTGTCAAAAACCTGTGAAACCGTTTTGAAGGCATCGCTTTGACTGAGTTGTTCCGTCTGTTTGGTGAAAGCCTCGGCCGCACTCTTCGCCTGTTTCTGAAACTCATCCGTCATTTCGATCCCTTTTTTGCCGATCTCTGTCTTCTGCGCCTCTTCTATACCTTTCGATATCTTATCTTTAATTGATTCCAAATGCTCTTTGAATTGTTGACCACTTTTGGCGGTTTCCGATTCAATCGATTGCTTTTCATTTGCGAAACACAAAAACAATTTATAAATCTATTCAAAACACAACACTTTCGCAATTCATTTACATATTTATGTCTCGCTTTCTGAAGCGCTTCCGAGTCTTCCAGTTTCTGCGCCTCTTCTCTAAACTTCTTGAGACTCTCTTTCATCTCCTTATTCTTCGACATCTCTTGTTTAATGTTATCAATGAGTTTCCCAATGAAACCCTTTTGTTGCGGCGATTGTGAGGCATAACAACGGATCTAAACGTTTCAAAACAATCATTATTATTGACTCAAAGACTAAATTCAATGATAACTGGCATTACATTTGAGTTGTGAAGACATTGCGGACAATAAGACCAGCGATGGCTTTGGGAACAAATGAGTTGACCGTTGGTTCGCCGGACCAGTGATGACAAACAAATGGATCTCTTCGTGGATCTCAATAAATAACTCATTGAAACGATTGTTAATATAATTGTTTAAAATCTAATTAAAGATAATTTTAATCATAAAATAGACATTTAAATCGCGAAACGATTAAAAATCCAATAATTGAATGAATAGTAAAACAAAAATAAACTTAATTTACAGTAAAAACGCTTTAAAGGCATGTGTTTTGGAAAACATGAGGCAATCCCTGTCTGTCATTGGGTTTACAACTCTTATAACGGCT